ATTCAACCTCCCTTTCAGGAACGACTATTCTTTTATCCAGTAAGCTCAAATTCAAGTGATTTGTTGCTTCTCTTCAAAGGACGCCCAAACACAGACCATTGGAAAAGCAGGAAGAACCTTTCTACTGCTAAACAACTGCTTTGCAGTCAGGTACTAGAAACGTGCTGGCCAGACAGCTGCCGGAACGAAGCTCCTGTCAGCTGAACTACTCAAATAGCTCCACAGCATGTGGAGTCAACCTAACCGTTCACCTTGTTTTGCAGAGCAGAAGCGTGTACAGTAAACAAAGACCAATGGGGACCACCACCCCTTCTTGAAGACGAAGGACCTGGATTTGCAATGCTGCCTAAAAGAAGAGCAAGCCATCCCCTGTGTATCAAACACAGTGTGGATGGACATCAGTTGAAGCAGACATTTTTACATGCAGTAAGTGAAGGCCGGCTGGGTCAGTCTGCATTAGTCTAACTGTTCCAGAGGTCCAGTGCTGCCTTTCAAGACTTGTTTCCCCCAGCAGAGGCCTACCCCAGCTTTCCCCTACAAGAGGACACCTCTCTTCTCTCTCAGAAGTCACTCACCTCTGCAAGCAGCCACCCTCTCCCATCCCTTCCCCTGGCAGGGACTGTGGTGTACCACACTCTCTATCCTCTGCTTGCCAGGCTGCGGCTGCACAGCAGGGAAGGCAGAAGGGAGGAGGCTGGAAAGGGACACGAGTGTTGTCGCAGGAAGCAGAAGGGGAAACCTAGGTGGGACCAAGTCCACAACGCAGCAGTAGCAAACAACCGTAAGTGTGATTGCCCAGGTACCACTAGACAAGAGTAACTGCATAAGGAGGACTTTTTCTTTCCCCTCCTTCCTTCGTTTCTACCACAGTCTTGGAGCAAAACCCCACCACATCCAAAGCAGGCCCACCACAAAGGAAAGGCTTCCCCATTAAAACTGCTGACGTCCTGCAATAGCACTGCTCACCTTTGTGGACTTGGCCTCCCTCTCACTGTCAGCATATATGTATCTTTTAAATGGAGAGAGACATAGAGAGAGAGAGAGATATACGCACACTGGCCAATGCTCTCAGGCAGCCCATATACAGAGAAAGCCAGTAAGACTTAGATACCTCCTTGAGATAGCTCCTGGAACTATCACACAACCTAGCCCTGAGCATTGTCTTAATCCCCTCTCTAGACCACAGTCATGGGAATGACTATTCTCACCCTATAAACTGAAGCCCTGACCCTTCAGAGAGCTATATGCTAGAGAGTCCCCATACCCGCACCGAGTGTGCTGTGGGATTAGGCTCTAAGCTTTGTGCAAGGCACTGTAAAACATGACGTCCATAAATTTAAGAAAGTTTAAATGCCTTGAGCCTGGAACAAGAACCTAAAGAAAAATAACAAAATGGACACTGTTAAGGTACGAGACAATAATTTTTCAGGTTACTCTTGTTCTAAATAACTGGAATTATAAGCTCTGGAATAGTTTTAAACATGTAATTGGCTTTACATCAGCAGGGGCTGGCTGTTGTTTTTTTGGACTTGGCTGAGAAACACAAGCACTTTCAACTTCTGCTTGCAGGCCCTTGCATCACCCTCAAAGGCCTAAAAGCCTCCTTACAAGCATACAAAAATGCAGAGTTCAGACCACACTCAGACTGCCAGGAACCTGCATCTGTTGTTGTGTTTGGGTTCACTTTACAACCTGTGAAGAGACAACTATGAGATTTTGTTTTATTATATTGTATTATCCTTTTTGAATTAGAAATACTCTATCTTATGCTTGACCTACTTAACAGCATCTCTTTCAATCAGGAAATTCTCCCAAGAAAACAACAGCAAAAATTGGATTTGAAAATTACCTGAAGTGTCGCTGGATCACTGCGCTGCTTAGATAGGTTAAGGATAAACCCAATCGCCTATTCAAGAGAGCCATTTGGATTCTGGTAACCCGCCCTGCGTAAGAAACAAGAGAATTATGAACTCTGGAAATTGGAAAAAATTTATTTCACTTCATTTTCCTTACATGAATCGCACACTAGAGTCTCAGCACCTCTTTAGACCCTGCAATCCACAGTGCACAGAGTGCTAACAGCATCCACAGCACGATACAAAGCAGATCAACAATCCCTGCCTGAGTTCAGCAGACAGTATAATTCAGATATGTATACGACAAAGCTGGATTCAGTATCACTGCACTGCGGTTTCCTGTGCACAGAAGTAAGAGCCCTTCTGCATGCACTGTGAACCATGTAACAACAAGCAGGTTTGAGAATTTTGGATGTGAACCAATTTAGACGCCACAGTGACCAGAAAAAGCTACCATAGCTACTTGTAAAAGCTACCCATATTACCTATAAAACCAAGCAAAAAGCCAGAGGTCCTCTGTAGACTGGCACCAGAGCTTCGAGAAACAATTTGCCAGACAAGAAACAAGACAAAGCTCCACTGGTGAGGGCATGCTCCCTCTTAGCATATACAAGGTGTTCAGCAGCCTGTGTTTAGAGACCAGAATCACACCGCTGCCCATCTCACCCTGTTAAGGCTGCCCAGATGAAGCAGTTCCCTGTAACTTTATGGTGAACGCTCAATCCAAACAGAAACACTACCCCGGCTGCAAGCAGAGCTGGGTTACAAGGTTAACCTCTGAGGTTACCACACCTTCTTCCCCGACTACATCTATGGCGGTTCCCTAACCTCATTCTGTCAGACTGATGGGGACCAGCTTGCACAAGCAATTGCAAAGGCTTATCTGAACCTGCATCACTTTGCCGGACATCGGTTAGGGAGCGATGACCCAGGCAGCTATGCTGGCAGATCCAAGTGAAGGGAGAAAACAACACAGACCTAGAGCCAGTCCTCTTTCAGGCCAGCTCAGATAAAGCTAGGACTTTCCATCTGACTACAACTACTGCTGTGTGACACTGCTTGCTTAGACCTCGGCAGTGTAACCGACACATGTGCCGCTTCTCTCCTTTCTAAAGTAAACATTGAAAATACATTGACCACTTATCTCCCTTTGCCAGTTCTGATGAGCTTAGGGCCAAACTGTAGCAGTACATTGTAAAGCCGTTTTCTTAACTTTTATTTTAAAAACAAAGCTGACCTAACTTCTCTAGGAAGAAAAAAATACCCACAGAGCCTTCTGACAGACAATGCCACAGCTCTTCTTATTTCAACCAAGTAAAGTCCAGGCTAAATCTTCACTCTCTCTTTATTGTTTTTACTTTTCCCCAGTGTGTTTGCCTACTTGGAGATGTGTGTATTTTTTAGGGTTTGCGGTTGTTCTACAGAGCAAGCGTTACCTGACAGCAGGATGAGAAGTACTGGAGACGTGCACCACAGCAATTTTGTAGCAGCGCTCCCTGAGCAAAGCACACGATACGTGGCAAACGGTCTCGCCTGTCACACAGGCAGGTTTGGAAGAGATCAGCAACAGCCAAAGCCTGTATTTATTTGCTAAACAAAGCTACTTTTCTGTGGGGTAGAAATCTCCAGATGAGTTCAGAGCTTCCCTTCAGAGCCTGCCTGCAGTCCCCTCTCTGAAATGAGATTCCCAGAAGGCTGTGTTTTTGCCACAGCTCTTTACCCAGCTGCGTGATCCTAACAAAAACAAGACCCTGTGGTGTTTACAGTGCTGCTGGCAACCAAGGTCCAATTAGCTGGGCCTTGCTGCTGCTAGGATTTCTAAGCAAGTCCAACTACGTTGCCTTGCTGTAAGCCCACACCCCGCGTTGGCAGGGAGGACAAGCCTGTCCCATTCTGCACTTGGGTGTACTGTTTCCCCGTGTGAAACTCAAACCCAGTGGGCAATATTGCTCCTACTTCCTCCAGAATTGCACTGAGGCCCTGCATCCCTCTAGAAGACCCAAACAAGCAGCAGCACGTCAGCCTCTCTGTGGTCTTTGACGGATGCTTCCCGGGGAGTCCCAGCTCTATTCCCCTGGCAGGCATGGTGGCCTCGGTGGCAGGAGAGGATGGGCCTGCTCATCCTCACCACCGCATAAGACCAATAGGAGAGGCCTGCTGGCTCGTGACAGGGCAGGCGTGGGCGCACGCTCTGCCCGCTGTCAGAGGGACAGCAACGTCACGACCAGCATAGCTAGATGCGCTCAAGGCCGCATGTCAGAGTCCTAAAGCACTGCCTAAACTCTGAACTCACTGCCCACTCCTGGGAGGAGTCACCGTTTGTTTCTACCCTGTGGCAGCAGTGAAGGTTTGAAGTCATGAAAACTACTGGCAGAAGCATCAACAGTGTTAAGTGTCCAAGGACTGTTTGTTTTTCCAGATGACTCAGCGCTCCCTTCTTTGCTAAGAATTATTCCTCGGCACATTAAGATGTGTCACAAGCTAAGAAACTTTGTATGATTGATTATTTGGTATGAAGCATCCTGTTAGGAACTGAGTAAACAGGGGGGATGCTTCCAATTAGCAGGAAGGTTCAGGGTAGAGGGAAGAGAAGAATGCCTCTGTGGCATGGAGTACAGCATTCAAGGGTGCAAGCAGGTTCACGAACAGTGAATCACATCTTCAGCTATCATAACATGCCAGCTTCCCTTCTAGAAAGGAACAGCCAATAGTTTGGGTTTGTCTCCAGGCACTCCTCAACCAGACCCAGTCCCGACTTGCTCCCTCTGCGGCTGTGAACAGGGCACTCGATCTCCTCCGCCCTCGGTTTCCCCCGCTGTGGAGCAGCTAATTACTAAACTAAACTCCAAAGGGCACAGAAGCCACTCACTCCGTCACGCTGGTTGCTGCCACACGAACGCTCCGAGTTGGCGCCAAAGTTGAAGAGCTGCTCTAAAGCGATGACAGCCTTCGGCCCCAGCGTACCCGGCACCTCTCTCCTTCCCAGCGCTGATGTTGCCTCACACCAGTAGGCCTTAAAAAGGCTCAGAGGAGGTTGCACTTAGCACAGGCACGGGGAACGCACGTCACCCGAGTCTGCTTCTGAAGGTGGCTCTCCCCAGGTCATCAGGTTTCAGTGCTCAGAGGTATATGGGACGCGTACCCCCACAACCCTCAAGCACAGGAAAATTTGCAGGAATTCCCAGAAGTCTGCTGTCGGTATTGCCCAACTGATACAGGAGCGCACCCTACAATACCCCGGATGGGCAAAACGCCACCGCTGCTTAGTAATTTAGTCACTAATACACTCCTGACCAAGGAATTGGAAGGGACTTTTGGAGGTCATCTAGTCCAATCTTCTGCTCAAGCAGGATTAATTTCCAGGTTGTTCATGCTAGGCAAGAGCAGTATTTAAACAGACACTATCCTAAAATGAAAGGCCCAACACAAAGACAACAATTGATATAGTGTAGGCCACACGTAGCTGCACCAAAGCAGAGATAAAGAACAGTGCAGAGCAACCTCTCTCCCACCTCCTGCCCTGCTGCCCCTAAATTCTAGCAGTGGCTCTATCTCATGGTTAGAGAGACTAATTTCTTAAAACCGGAATCGTAGAGATGCTTTGCTTCTCTCTGCTCCATATATCAGTTAAAAGTCAGCACAGATCTCAGACTGAGTTCAGAGTAAGATTCAGAAAGGGTGAAGGAGTCTGTTAATCAAATATTCACTAAAATGACCCAATTTCTACTTCACTGAAGAAGTCTGAGCATGCAATAACCCGCTGCAGCAAACACTCCCTTCTCGAGGGCCCTTCAGCCATACCCTATTCAATGCAACAGACCGTCATCAAATTCCAACACCACACAAGAAAGGAACTCTTCACCAGTTATAAACCTCTGGAAGTTATTTACCCACGGCACCATTTTCAAGTGCCATACTAAAGCTACCACCTTCGCCGTTCTCCCTTGAGATTAAAGAACTAACTTACATTTACTGCAATCTTGAGTGGTTTTTTAATGGAAGAGTTCTGGAAAATTTCATCCCAGCTACCAGAAGCAGGCCACATAAAATATTTTCGTCAATCGCATGCAAACATGCGAGTAGACCACCTCAGGGAGCTGCTACAAAGCAGGGACATCTTCCAGATAAGGAGGACAGGATTACGTACTCACTTTGAACCAACGTCAGGGCACACAGTACCAAGAAAGGAAGACCTGTGTCCCCCCAACACACATTTCCGTCACCTCCCTTACGCTGGCTCTAGCATTCATGTAAATTAGTCACAGTTTTCAGCCAGATCAGTCCCCTGATCCAACTCATCCTGCGGCCGCGCGAATGCTGGTGCGAGGGAACGCAGCAAAACACAAGACTGGGACTTCCCCTTTTACTGCCAACCCAGACTTACACCGTGACAGTATCTCCGGAGAAATACCGGGAGATTTGGACAAGAAAAGAATCTCTTTCATTTCAGCAAAAATACTGATGTGCTTCACAAGAACGGTCTGGATGAATCTGCACTATTAACACAGCCATGGGAGCACTTAAAAGGTCTGTGTCTGAACACTCAAGAGGCCAGTGCGACGGCTCTGACCAGATTTTTGTCAGTGGTGTATACCCTAAAAACCAGTCAAGGTGCCGTTCTTACCCTGCCTGCATCCTACAGTAAACGTACTTTTAAATAGTGCTGTTACCTAGCAATCCAGTATTACTTTCCTTTTTGATCACAAGTTTTGGAAATGACACCTGCTCCCTATATTCCCAAGATCCATAGTTCCACAACCATTCAGCTATTTCTTTTCCTTCTTTCTGCTAGTAACTCATCCACAAAAACAGGCCCCAGAGAAAACCAATGGATGTTGCAAAGCAAATGCTGAGGCCTACCACCCAAAGCCTGCTGTCAAACGTACAAAATAAAAGAGGGAAAAATATTCTTCACTTTAATAGTCGTAACCTGATCTGCGCAGCCAAACAGTGGGGCCAACATCCCCTTTATTCTTCTAAAAGACCAAAATAGGCATGCTCCGGGCACCACAAAGATTTGAACCGCATCTGTCGTCCATCATTAAAATGCAAGAAATAAATCCAAGACAATATGCACGATACAAATACCTAAAGCCCTA